TTGTACACACGTGTCTGCTACATTCTTGGTAAACATACTTGTTAACAATTCCAAGCGTATTGTTCCCAACAACTCGTTACTACCAGCGACTTGGACGTTGTTGCATTGTTCTATAGGATGTACTTAGCAGAGTACGCAGGAGTTAAATGCCTTCATTCCTCCCTTCCGCTTCCTCCATTGGACGACCAAGCGGCCGCCGGGCCTTCACCTCATTGTTGTCTATAACCATGCATTCCAACCAATTAGTTTCCTTCGTCTTTCGTAATCTTATGATTGAATGATTTGCCGTTGTCCGTCCGATTACAAACTGAGTGTCTACAGGTAAAGAATGAATAATAGGCTTTTGTAACGCTAACATAGTCACTTACACCGACTTACCAAATCGTGCTTTATCACTGGTTACCGTCAGGTAGAACTGTAGTCAAGTATTCTCTTTTAGATTAATTTAAAAAAAAACTGTTAAATTTGACCATTTTCTTAACTAACGTACTCCAATGGATAAGTAAGTTAAAGTGGCAATGGGTCGGCCATATAACTCGAAAAACCTACAATCCATAGGGAAGCAAGGTTCTCGAGTGATTGCTTCGTAGCGGTAAGCTAAGTAAAGGGTGGCCCCCCACTAGATGGAGTGATTGTCTAGTAAGTCATGTAAAAAGTCGATGGATGCAGGTGTTTTGTGGCATTCCTTGGGGGATAGGTCTATTTTCAACAGTGAACTTGTGTATTGATGATGGCGATGGTATTGGTGGTGGTGTCTAGGTATTACCTCTGTATTCATGTTCACAAACGCACACTAACACGTATTGCCTGAATCACCTTCATCTTGAACTGCGCGACGGTTAATAAATGACTAATTTTAAAGGTCAAATTTCATTATACTTTAAATTGAATGTGCGATAGTATATGCTACCTCTGTATAACTCTGGGCTCTGAGCTGTTCACAACTGATTGCCCTTATTAGACTGGTTTATGACTGCCTCGTTCTTCCAGGGGTCGTGAGCACAACAGCTCATAATGGGACAGGTTTGTATCGGGCCTAATAATTAATAATTGAGGTTTTCTTGATTAAAACTACTTTTACGGATTTTATCCTATATAGGGCAAACAAAGAGATCAATTAGAACCCGCGTAAAAGAACACAGCTGACGTGAAGCATCAACGTTCCGGGAAGTCTGCAGTTTGCGATCATATTCTAGATCGCCCCAACCATTACATCAGATTTGATAGACCACAAATCCTCGCGAGAGAAGAGAGAGGAGGAGGCTGGGTACTACCACCTGCTTGGGATCCTATAATTAATAAAATTAAAACTAAACCCAAGCATACCACTGCAAGACTTCAAAATACAGTTAGTTCATTCTGCGTAGATCGGACCAAAAACAATAATTAAAAAGCTGAAGGTACTCCGGGTTAACTTTGACATCGGGACGTCAGTCCCCCGTGACCATGGGTGCTGGAAAGCACCCGAAACGTCGGGTATTAAAATTAATATAAATAAAACGCCATAAAATCCGTAAAAGTAATTTTAATCAATGTATAGTGTTCGCGTAAATATAAGAATTCATTATTGGGGTTTTCTCTCAAGAAATTAGTAGTAGCTTGGAGTAAGAAAGTTGATTTTCCGAGCCTCGGAAAACACGCGAAGCTGCTCGTGCCTGATCTTTTGTGTGTGAATTATCATTAGATGAGGTGAGGGAGACGTGTTGCGTACATAATGTACACTATAATCGTTCTAAATGTAAGTGTTTGACTGGTGCTAGAGAAGGAGAAGTATTATTCTTAGAGTTATAATTGGTAATAACTTTTGAAAAGGTATTGTCGTAATTGCCAAGCATTAAAGTCGGATGGTAGCAGAAGATGTTACCCATGTTTGCACAGTCGCCGTTCTGGGAATTTTACATCCATGTATGTAATGTAATAAAATGTTAACATATACCTAGCCTGTACACCTCCTACTCATAATCCTCATCTCATCTCTGAGAGAATTCACCGTATTACCTACTCCAAACTTGCAGGTTTGCTCACGATGTTTTCCTTCACAAGGGCGAATGATATATTAGTCCTTAAAATTGTCGGCTGTGATTGAACCCGGGTTGTTCTATACTATAGAAGAGGGCTTACAAAATCGTGTGGACGTAGTCGACGGGACAATAGAGTTTTCTCTAACGCCACCAACAAATGGCAATTATTCAGCTAAAAGCAATGTTTTTGACTTGTAGCCCACACGCCACTTATGATCAGATAGGATTGATTTTAACAAAAAGTTTTTCATAGACCTTGATTGTTAAGTAATAGCTTAAAGTTAATTTAAAAAAGACATCATATCGAAGAAACTTGCAAGTTTTAAGACAGGTGTCTTAAGTCTACTTAAAGATTCGTCCCATGGCATAGTTAAAATTTGAAATTGTCAAAAATATGATGGCTGCCGATAGAGGGAGGTATACCATCTTCTTAACGGCGAACAATCAATAATGATCCGCCTGCCAAGATTGACGAATAAGACAAATCTTCCCTCGAACAGGAGAGGTTCAGAAGTCCTATCCAACGCTGCATTTTTTTTTCATCAATTTAAAGGAACCTTTTAGAGATTTGTAAATTAAAGTATTTCTTAAGATGTTAACTAAGCAGGAAATCATTTAAGATTTTTTTCAATCAATAGACAACATGAAGCAAAAAGGTTTAACATTGTATATATATATATATATATATATATATATATATATATATATATATATATATATATATATAATTAAAAAATACATTTCATATTTTTTTTAAACGTTACCGCCACACTCGAATTTTCTACTGTACTACGGGGGCAGGTTACAAACACAAATTTCACAAGGACAAACATCCAGACCACTCGAACATTTACATGTTAGGCCATATAAGGCCATACAAATACTTGTTCCGTGCGGGATTCGAACCCGCGGCCCTTAGCGTCGTAAATCATTGCTAAGCCACTGCGCCGGTCTTCAGGCGCGACAACGCATCTCTAGGCTTCCTTTCTTAAATTTGACTGTGTGTTTCCATGAATTACGATAACCACTTATCACTGTGGTCTTATTAGCTCAATATTAAGAAGATAATACATTCCAGACAGGAGATGGACTTATCTGTTAATTAAATCGTCCGAGAGGAAACGACTTCCTTTCCTGGAAGCGCGGCTGGTAGCCGGCGGTGGTGGGCGCTCCGAGGCGGTTGACTCACGGTTCATAGGTCGCTGCGCATTATGTTCGGAATGATAACTGTCGTGGTACCCGCTGTGGCAATTCAACGCGTAGGGGGGATGGGGAGGGGTTGGGACGAAGGGAGAGTTACAATTATAACCTACTACGTCATGTGTTACTGCATAATAACATTTCATTTACTCATACACAACTTTTGCTTGATTTTCCTTTTACAATAATTTTAATAATATTAATACTTATATATTATATACTATACCTATATTAATGCGTGAGGGGAAAACTTTGTACCCCATTTTTAACCATGTTTTGCACAAGGGGGAGTGTGAGATTAGACATAGTAAAACTTTATGTGGAGAACGAGTACAGAAAGCTTAAATTTGTAAATATGTGTTAAAATACGTATATTGAAATATATACTGCCAAAGTCAATCAAGTATCCATCAAATAACTACTGACAGATTGACTGAATATGCTGAGAATTTTATGTGATTTTAAATGTTAATTTTTCAATAGTGTGGAGGAGTAAAGACAAGGCAAAAAACTTTTATATATATATATATATATATATATATATATATATATATATATATATATATATATATGTGTGTGTGTGTGTGTGTGTGTTAGATATCTGTGTTTTGTAAATTTTAATATGCATTTGAAAGTGAAATACAGCGTGTTTAATATCTATACAGACTTAAAAACAGTCGAAATCCAATCACTAGGCGACCACTAGTAATAATAAAAAAAACAACTTTATTGTATACCTTAGACTCGTTATAAAGTAGAAAATCTGATCAAATTTTTTTCTCCAACCCAAACGTTTACAGCAGATCTCACTTTGTATGCCATATTTACCTTAATTATCATGTCTGGTAGCCGGATTTGTAGGAAAAGTGTCTCCTCTTCTCTACACTCACCATATGAACACAGCAGCATTAAGCTACTTCTTTACGCTGGTAGAATACCAGTGAATAGAACTGAGAGTGTGGATCTTGCCCGGTAGAGCCGACCTATTCGCGCTACAATCATAATATAGCTACAGCATGGCTCTACCACGTAATAATAAGTTAAGTATAATTTATTTTTTCGAAGAGCGTAGAGTAGTAAAATTAAGTGAAACACAAAAAATAGTTACTGGAAATTTTAATGTTACAAGTATGTGCATTTCCGCTCAGTTTAAGATTAAGTAAAATATCAATTAATGATACCATCGAGCCGTTAGCGTTAGATCTGCCTGCGACAATTATACTTAATGACTTCCGTAGACTAAACCACTTCATGGTCTTTAGCTATAGATAAATAATGATCTGGCAATAATTTTATCTTTCTTATTTACCATTCTCGAATAATTACGTGGCTTTATGTAATGGATAGAATAAGGACTCGTGCTCATAATATTTTTTTAAATCAACTTTGATGAGCATGCCTATACGTGATTGTTGTATATTATGCTAGGTCTAAAATGGTCTGAGATAAGAAAGTGCAGCCATAATTTTAAAACCTATTGACAAATCGATATTCCAGGCTGTATGAAGTACAGAGGGCAGTACAAAACTTGGCCTCACCGAGAGCCGAGCGACGCTGCTTGAAGGCAATCCAAAACAAAAACAAAACATTTATTTCAGTGTCTTCATTTTAGTTTAGATTATAGCTGTTTTTATGTGATTGTTTTAAGAAATGCATTGATTTTAAATTGCAGTAAGAATTAACCACAAGTAAGTCTGCAGTAAGATTCATTCTATGCTTTAGTGCTGGACTGCAGTTTAGCTTCGCGGGTGTTCTTTTTAATCCAGCCATTGAGGCAAAATGGACCAGGTGACCAAGTCGAAAAAAGTTTCATTGCTTTATTTTTTTTACTTTTTTTTGGTTTGTATTATTATAATTTCATTAAATAAGGATTTGTATGTTATCTACAAATGGTACATTGATTAGGTCTCGTCGGTTTCATTCTTATTTGCGTGCTTTTGCTGTGTAACTACAAAATCATCAATTTTGCGAGTATTTTCAAATGTGTCATACCTTTGAGAACTTAAAACTAATAGCAAGGTAAATTAAATTTGATTAAATTTGCCAGCATGTGTACAGAAGAGGCACAGTAAATGGTAATTAGGATGGAAAGTCCTTCATGTTGCTTCAGATGCTTAATTATAGTGCATTTAACATTTCTTACTAAATTTTCTTATAGGTACATTTACAGGGTTATTTTGCAATAACCGGCCAAATTTACAGAGAAGGATCTGAATAAGTAATATAGGCAAATGAATGAATTTAGTTAAAACAATCTCAAACATGTCTTCTTGTCTGTCCAATTGTCCAACTGTCCTTTTTATCTTTTAAATTCAAAATACGTGGTAATGCATTATTTTAACTGATTTTACTGCGCACGCACACATTCGTTAGGTTCGATTGGTAGGCAAAAACGTTGTTGCCCATAAATCACGTTCAATTAGGGATAATTTCAAATAAAGGCAGAAGCGTTATTTACCTGTATTTTAAAAAACAACTAACAGTATGTCATTATTTATGTATTTTAACTAAGTTTAGAATTTGGCTACTTGTTGAAAAATAACCCTGCACGGTATATAATATATAATATACGATATAATTTCATAAAAACCCGCATTTGATTTCGGGCCGTTACGTGATACAAATTTAAGACGAGAATCCGCTCAGTTACCACGTTAATCTTCCAATGAAAACGATTACATCAATTATTCACGTTCGTAACGCACGCATCTGTCGATCTGTTTTGACACGTAAACTTTCTTCAGCACGTATTATATAAGATGGATTTAGTTCCAGTAACTCAGATAAGGCACAAAACGCATGCTGCGGTAAACACTTTCCATTATCACTGCACATCACGTTTTGTGCGATCACTCGATTAGTTTCCAACGTAACTTACACTTCAAGCTGGTGACTCACTAACGTATAGATTTATAAATACAATGTGACTCAAAATCTACTCAATGAAGCACTTGTATCAGTTCGTGGAATCGTAAAAATGGCGCCACATTCCGCGGGCATTTTAACCGTCGTATTTCCCCGTTTTGGGCTCGCTCGCTCGTGGGCGTATCGATTTGCGAACATATTGATGATAAGCTAAGAGAAGCTGACTACCGAAGTTATATTTCTTTTCGACTGTTTGACTGGGGCAACGATAAGGTTAATTATATGCTAATCCTACCTGTAGCACAGATCGCTAACTTTGTTGATATCAAAATGATCGACCCTTTTAGTACATTGCGTCGTGTGACCGCGAGCTACCGCAGCTTTTGAAACTGGCGAATAGGTCTGCAAGCTGCAGTACACGTTTTCAGTGAAAGATATCAGCTCCGTATTTGTCCACCTACCAACTTGCAGGTCAACCAACCTGCCTATAAAAAAAGGCTGTATTTATCTACTTTATAGTTTGTATATAATTATGCTGCGTAATTACCATATTAAACTTTTTTTAATTTTTAAAGTTTTAATAAAGATTATTAATTGAAATTTAAAGATAAATTAAATTTTAAGAAAAAAGATTATTAATTAAATTTTAAATAGAGAAACGTCTCCACATGAGAACACAATAATGAGAATCACTAGCATACGATAAATTAAATAACAGGATCATCACATCTCAATATCAATGCGTTTTTAAAAGTTTTTTTTTTTAACTTTTATATTATTTGTTTACAGATCGAAGCAGCAGCGCGTCTAACGCCATCCCAAGTGAGTTCATTTATTACATCGATGCCTTTATTTCGTGCGCTTTGTCGCTTTACCGACATTCCGAGAAGTGTGATCTCTTTCGTCGGACGACGTTTTTATGCACTCACTGATACCTATAATAAGTTCTTGTGGAGTTATTTACGAAGCTGTTAGACGTGATTTACGTCGTGTTATTTATGAACAAAAATTCTAATAAATTTCAGAAATTATTGGCAATTTGCATTTATGTTTGCTTGCGTCGTTATTTATAAACTTTATAGAATAAATGATTATTTGATGTAGTGGCTTAGCAATGACTTGTCATGCTGAGGGCCGCGGGCTGGAATCCCGCACGGAACGAGTATTTGTTTGGAGATACAAATAATTTATTGTTCCCGGTTTGGATGTATGTTCTTATGCATTTTAAGTTTGTAAACTGCCTCCACAATACAGAAGGATATCCTAACGGTTAAAAATGAAAGAAAGAAAGATTTTTTTTTAGTACTCAATAATCCGATCAAAAGTTTTCTTTTATTTAATAATAATATAGTGACAAAGGAAACTCGCAGTCACAAATGGATACCATTAAAGCGCATTCTAGGCAGAAAGCCCACGTACAAGACGACACGAACGATTAAAGCGCATGAATGTCTTAAGACTACTCTAGACAAACGGACAGTATAAGTGCATTGTTACCTGGAGATCAAGTTGTAATGCTTTATACCTTTTATTAATATAGTCTCTTCATAGGTTAGTGCTCAGCGCCAAAGGTACGTTTGAGGAACGAAATCTATTACGTGGGACCTCTAGGCAGAAAATTAGATTAACAAAGTTTTTTTGTAAACTGTCGTCACACCTTTTTAGAAAAGCTCTGGCTTATACCATATTCCATCTAGTTATTCCCTTAAGTAGGAAACATTCTTGTTATCGATGGGTTAGGCGATAAGTTCGTATGTCTCCCGTGTTTATTAAGAGTGCTGTAAGGTCTACAATATTCGGACAAATGCACTCTGAAATTCTAACTTATTATTTCTATTTCTGAATGAGATATTATAATAAGGATCAGCGGACGTATTCACAACTTAGTTGACATCAAAATTAAAGACAATAGTCAGGAAGTACATTATGTCGTATGCTGTAATGGATTATAGCTTTTTCATAAAAGTGATATATTATAAGAAATGCGACGCAATGTATTACAAAGTGACTATAATTTTGATATTGACAACGTTAACGAATATGCCCGCTAATTTTCCTCAATCTCGTCACAAGGACTACGAATACATAACGAGTTATATGTAGTCGAATCACGCTGCAGCACGAATGTTTTGACTCGCCCGGGGAAGAACCACGTTCTCACAGAATAACAGTGTAAAATAGCAATGCGTTTTGTATGGTGAGTGTAGAGAACAGGATACCCTTTTTACTCGAAACGAGGCATTCCATCTTTGCCCTCACGGCTGACAACGTAACTGTATTTTAATTCTGAATCGAGGATAAATGTAGAAAATATAGTCTATGGGCCACAGCATCCACTTATCATCAGGTGGATTGTGTGTTCGTTTGCCACCCTTACTCTATAAAATAAATCTACGGGCTATCCTAATTTCCTAATACGACAGTGTTACAATTTTGTATATGCTATATTATACACATTAGTCATTTTAAATTAGGCACATAACTATGTGTAATGCTAGCTTTGTGAACTCACTCAGGGGATAACAAAACAAGCCTATTTCTCTGACTAACAGATTAAGAGTGCAGAGAGCAAGTGTCAGGGGCGCCTGACTCATTAAGTTTGTCCTTCCGTTCGGCACCGTCGCCGTCTTCCTAGGTCCATTCCATTCGGACCACACATTTTTACTTGTTTAAGTATGTCAGAATTAAAAAAAATCATACGAGTACCTTATAAATAATGTAAGTAATGTATTGCTTACGCAGTATGAATGGATGGGATATCGTATGCTTGTATATACGAAATCGTGTAACTCAAAATCTATTCGATCGATCACCATAAAAATTGGAATATTATGTATTGTTCAATGAAGAAGTTTTATATTTACAAACTAAAAATAATTTTTTTTTTGATTTTATTTGCTATTTTTCAATCAAGCGCGGCAATTAATAAATTAAATATCATGCACTAAAATAAAATACCTTGCTGAACACAACATATATTAACTGGCAGGACAACGTCTTCGAGATTCAGTTAGTTCACATAATATACACATTATTCTTCTGTTTTATCAACTATGAACTATAAACATGAACCTTTCCTGTCCTTAGGAGAATTTGCTTCAACAGTCACGATGGTAACAAGAAGTGATAGAACACAAATCCTCGCTAAAGAACACCGATTCCTTCCTAGGTAGGATGATTCTCGAGGCTATTGGATTCAAAAAAAAGCATCATAATTTCAATAGAGAAGATGGCCGCGTCCCAACCCAAGCATACAACTGCTAGACTTCAAGATACTATAAGTTCATACTGTGTAGTAGATCAGAACAAAAATTAATAATTTTAATCTGTAGGTAGCCGTGGTTAACATCGGGACGTCGAACACCTCTATCCTCCCCGTGATTATGGATGCTGTAAAGTGCTCGATAAAATCCGTAAAAACAAGTTTTATTTAAAAATAAAGGAGTAAAATATATGTATATTTAAGCTCAAATTAAATATAATAGATACTCGTAAGTCACAGAATTATGAAGGGACATTAGTCTAATGGTTAAGAGTACAAGGTGCAAATTTGAAAGGTTGTAGGTTAGAATTCGCCATTTGACCACGGTCGTAAACCACTCCTAACACAAGCATTTTAAGCTTATTTGGAGTAGTTAAGAGTTAGTTAATAGTGTAACTTATATTTCCTCTTTAAAAACATTTATATCGAGTAGTATTTTGTCTCTCTTTGTCATGTGGTCCAGACTTTTACTTTTAAAACATTTCACGGTTATTGCCTTATTCCTATCTCTAGTACCGTTACACACTTTCCCGTTCGCCTTCCCTCGTAATGCAGTCCCGGGAGGACGTCCCAAATAAATTAAAAGCTCATCAAACCAGTAGTTATTGTGAAGCGCCGGAAGTGGCCGATTTATCCCACGGGTTTATAATATGGTGTGACAGTCGACGACTGGTTTTGGGGGTCTGATCATGTTATTTCATTTTTTGTTGATTTTCTCATCGTTTGAACTGCTATGTTATTATCATGCTGATTACTACATTTTTTTGTGTGTGTGACAAACTATCTATGATCTGATCATAACTGCAGTCCTTGGACACCTGCAGCCAACTACATACTTAGAAGGCCACAGATGCATTGACTCCCCTAAGGGCTGAGCTGGATTTAGTTACAGCACGAATGTTTGTTCGATCGGTGAAGGGCCTCGCGCTCACAGAATAACACTAGCTTAAAGATCTGTAATGTGTACTGTACATGGTGTACATAGTGAGAACTGGAAACACTTTCTACTGTCAACGAGATAATCAGGTGGCATGTGTGCTCCTTTGTAACCCTAAAAGTAAAAAAAAATTTTACTTTTTTTGTATAGGATAGGGTGACAAACGAGCACACAGTCCACCTGATGGTAAGTGGTTGCTGCGGTCCATAGACATGTACATCACAAAATGCAGATGCGTTGTCACCCGTGAGGACTAAGATGGAATGCCTCGTTTCCAGTAAAAAGAGTCTCCGGTTCTCCACACTCACCATAAGAAACACAGCAGCATTAAGCTGCCATTTCACGCTGGTATTCCGTGAGAGCGTGATCCTTCTCCGGTCGAGCCGACCCATTCATGCTACAACTATATTACTAATACAACTGCAGCATGGCTCTACCAAGTATAAAACTACTATACGATACTTAGCCTAAGATAGCTTTAAAAATACATTTAATAACAAAAAGATAACTTAGTCTTTGTACGTCATTTGAAGATAGTACCTAAATTGTATTTTCTATTCCTCAAATGCAATAAAATAATTTATATAAATTTAATGACATAGATTTACGTGGTAGAGCCACGCTTTATTATGGTTGCACAGAATATTAGCGTCAAATAGCAGCACAGTGCCAGCTCCTTCCACTTGACCGCATCCAGCACAGAGCGATTCGAATCGTTAACGACCGAGTTCTTTCTGATCAGCTCGATTCACTGGCGCTGCGTAAATACAAACGGATGTTGCATCCTTTTGCGTTTTCTATCGTATCTACCACGGGGAGTGCTCTGAGGAATTGTTCAGATTAGTTACAGCCGCCAAATTTCACGAACGCACATCGCGTCAAAATTCACGATACCATCCTCACCATCTGGATGCTCGGCGGTCCACCACTGTGCGTTTTACTAGGAGTTTTCTTCCACGTACAAGCTCTCTGTGGAATTGTTTACCACTGGCGACTTTTCCGGACCGATATGACTTAGGGACCTTCAAGAAAAGGGCTTACTCCTTTCTAAAAAGCCGGTAACGCACCTGCAATTTTCCCTTGGTGTTGCGGTTGTCCATGGGCGGCGGTAGTCACTTATCATCAAGTAAGCCGCATGCTCGTTTGTCCTCTTCTCTATAAAATCGGTACTTTAGGGGTCCGGACGTCTTGGTTGTCCTAATATTTCCGCTACTGCATCTAGGCTTACCTTCGATCTAATCAACTAGGCATTATATTAAACATAAATACAATACACATACGTTTTCGTTATATCAGATACGATGAAAGTTGATTGATTACGTTTGTGTCTGCTTCGCTTAGTTTTTCTAAAAAGACCTTGTGTTGTGGAGGCATTTTAAATAAATTGCTCCTGTACAAACATCCAGACATGCAAAAATTATTTGTATGCCTTACAAATATTTGTTCCGTGCGGGAAACAAATCTGCGGCCCCACAGCACTGCAGCTAAACGCTGAGCTACTGTGCCATCGAGCTGCCTCCGCCACGTACTATGCGCAAATTTTTGCACTGCTGGACTCGGGTCAGTTCCCGAGTCAGTGGAAAAATGCTTTCGTTAGACCCCTTCCTAAAGTATCCAATCCCA